TGCTCACAGCTCAGTGGCTGGGGCCTGTTTTGGATTCTGCCTCCTTCTCTCTCTGGTCCTCCCCAACTTGTGCTCTGTCTCTCTCTGTCTCTCTCTCTCAAAAATAAATAAAATGTAAAAAAAAAAAATCTTTAAAAAGAAAAAAAGAGAACATTGAAGTCTAGAGCGATCAGAACTCACAGGCACATGTTCAGTGGACACAGGCAATAACTTAGATTAGGTCAGCTGCTCTTTCCATAAAGAACTGTGAAGTGTTTCAGACATTTGCAAGATTACAGTTAATGAGGCAAAACCTCTTAAGAATGTAGCTGTCTTTACCATATAATACAATGTAACAGTATAACCTGAAAGTCAGCATGGTCAGAGAAAAACTAAGAATTGTGTAAAATAACCCAGGAATTTAGAAGGTAGGTACACAGCCCACATGATGCACTTTTTCTAGAAGTATTACCCTCAGGGTCAAAAAAAAGGGTTAGATTGTTGTTATTTAGGGGCACCCGGGTGGCTCTGTCAGTTGAGTGTCCAACTCTTGGTTTTGGCTCGGGTCATGATCCCAGAATTGTTGGATCGAGCCCTGCATCGGTCCCTGCGCTGAGCATGGAGCCTGCTTGAGATTCTCTCTTTCTCCCTCTGCCCTCTCCCCCACTCATGCTCTCTCTCTCTCTCTCTCTAAAATAAAATATATATATATAAATAAAAAATTTTTAATTGTAGAGATATTAAGTTCTTTGAACAAAAAGCAAATAGAACTGAAAAAAAAACAGCAAAAGTTTCCCATTTATCCTTATTGGCTACATTTTAAGTTTGACATTTAATATACTTTTAGAAATATTATATAGTTAAAATATAAATAGAATATTATGTATACTGCAAATCCTGCTTCCTCGCTCCCCCCCACATACACACCATAAATAGGACATCTGTATTCCAAGCTAGTCCTTTTGGGGTTTGGGTGTTTGTTTGTTTTTTAAGTTTATCTATTTATTTTGGGGGAGAGAGCAGGGGAGGGGCAGAAAGAGAGGGAGAGAGAGCCCAAGCAGCCTCCACCGGTCAGCACAGAGCCCGACACAGGACTTGATCCCAAGAACCATGAGATCATGACCTGAGCTGAAATCAAGAGAAGGATGCTTAACTGATTGAGCCACCCAGGGGCCCCGGGGTTTGGGTTGTTTTTTTTTTTTAATATTTTGTTTTAGATTACAAAATACAGGCTTTTGAAACACCAATATAATACAATTATATATAAGAACAAGATTTCTAATTCTTTTTACCCTGTGATGGTCAAATTTTGTGTCAACTTGGCTAGACAATGGTGTCGTTGTATGGCAAACACTAGATGCCGCTGTGAAGGTATTTTGTAGATGTGAATACTGTCCACAATCCGTTTAAGATGACATTCCATAAAATGGTGGGCCCCATCCAATCAGTTAAAGGCTTCAAGGGAAAAAATACTGAGGTTTCCTGAAGAAGGAATTCTACTTCAAGACTGTAACAGAAATCCTGCCCATGTTTTCAGTCTATTGGCCTGCCCTGCTGCCTTAACAGACTTCGGACTTGCCAATTCCCCACAATTGTACGAACCTATCTCTTAAAAAAAATTATTTATGTGCACGTACACCCCCACACACACATTGGTTCTGTTTCTCTGGAGAACTCTAATACACACTCTTTAAATCCATTCCCGACATACCTAAGTTTGCTTTTCCCTTAGAAATGAGTTCATGGTAGACATAGTCATCTGCCTCTTCATTTCTCCCTACTTAAGAACGTATCATGGACATCCTTCCAAGTCAGCAGGCAGAGACCCAACTCATGCTTCTCAAGAGCCACACGGTAAGCCATGGCATGGCTTATTATTTAGGCAGGGGCCGTATATACATATAGGACGTTTCCAGTGTTTTGCTCTTCATTCCATTATTTGCATCAAGCTTTCAAGAAACCTATTTCTCATACTGCCCTTGTCTTGTCTTCCTCAGAATGGATCTAGTTATAATCTACCAAAAATTTAGCATTAGATTTTCCCAGCTGTTAGTTTAGAAATACATAACCTGGATTAAAAGCCAAATGTGTCTTAATAGGTGCACGTGAGGGTTCTACTGTCCACAGATATTTGAGAAACGTCAGCAGCAGTGCTCCTCAGTAACCTTCACATTAAGTCAGGCATGTACAGCACTGAATCTCCCAGGTGCAGAGAACTGAGAAAGTTCCCTGTCTCCCAGATTCTATTTTTTTCACTAAACCATCATATTTAATTCAAATGTTAATAAGACAGGCACCTAGAAAATATATATATAAAATTTTATGGATGAGTTTTTAGCATTTTTTTAATGTTTATTTTTGAAGAAGAGAGAGAATGTGAGCAAGAAAGGGGCAGAGAGAGAGGCAGACACAGAATCTGAAGCAGGCTCCAGACTCTCAGCACAGAGCCGGACGCAGGGGATGAACCCATGAACCACGAGATCATGACCTGAGCAGAAGTCGGGATGCTCAACTGACTGAGCCACCCAGTCTCCCCAGGGAATGAGTTTTTAATTTTTAATTTAACTAATTCTATTTTTGCTGAAGTAAGCTTTACTCCCAATGTGGGGCGTGAACTCACAACCCTGAGATGGACAATCACTTGTTCCCCTGACTGAGCCAGCCAGGCGTCCCCAAAATATTCTTTTTTTTAAATGTTTATTTATTTTGAGAGAGAAAGACAGAGAGATCCCATGTGGAGAAAAGGGCAGAGAAGAGAGGAGGGAGAGAATACTAAGCAGGCTCTATGCTGTTAGCATGAGCCTGATGTGGGGCTTGATCCCACGAACCGTGAGATCATGACCTGAGTGAAAATCAAGAGTTGGACATGACTGAGCACCCCCAACTCTGAAAATATTCTTAAGTGAAAAAATCAATGTACTAGATTTGCATTTCATCCACTGGTTCTTTTTTGCCAAGCAGAAGTGCCTCTGCCGGATCCACACTTAACCAAACATCCCAGCTCCGGTCTCTAGCCAACACCAAATGCTGGAAGGACTCAGGGAACCTGAAAGGGCAAGGCATAGATGTCATCACCCTGGTGTTCTCCATCTCCAGGGTACCTTGCCAAACCGGTCCACAAACCAAAGTTGCTGGCCTCTACTGGGTTACAGAGGTTTCCAAATAATAGGAGGTCGTAAGGGTGTCCAGGCAATTGAGAAGATCCTGGGTGGAGGTGAAGCATCAGACTCTTGATATGATCTGAGGTCGGGATCTCCCGAACCTGAGATGGAGCCCCGTGTCAGGCTCTTCGCTGAGCATGGAGCCTACTTGAGATTTTCTCTCTCCCTTGCTCTCCACCCCTCTGCCACTTGTGCTCTTTCTCAAGAATAAATAAACTTTAAAAAAAAAAAGAAAGAAAGATGTGATCCCAACAACTTCTCCTTGAGGACAAATGTCTGTAGCCACTTTCACAAGTGCCATTTCTACTCCAACCTTCTGGGCTCTTTGGAGCTTATCTTTGTTTAAACGTTTCTTTTTATCCAAAATAACCACAAAGCATTTGGATTATTATGTATTAGTCCAGTTTATTAAATAATGAAACAAGGTTTATGCTACATATTCCAACAATGCTTAAATAAAGAGCTTGAAATATAAAGGCTTATGAAAATGTATAGTGTTTATAAAATACATTCTATTTCTAGCTCATGAATAAATATGAATAGGGGCCATTTTTATATCACAGATCGTCAACACTTAGCATCAATGACTACACAAATCCACTAACAAACAAAAAAATCCGTTATCTTCATTTCAGTTATAAAAGCTAAAAATCCTTTTGCCACATTTAAGCCATATCCAGGGGGGTGGGGAGGACCTGTAGCCACACCCCTGAAAATAAGGGGACCGAGTCTCCAAATCCCTAAGTTCTTTCTTGGTTAGGAGCATGGCAGTTGCATGAACTCTTTCAGGAAGCAGAAAAACCAAAACAGGTTAAGATCCTGTTCTATATAATGTGCTTAATAAATTTACACTGGAGAAACACTCTATTTTTGTCTTAAAAACGTGATCAAGTGTTATAGTGAGGTTTGAGCTTCTTTTCATCCTGGTATGAACATATACCTAATTTGAATAAACTGATAGAATGAACGCTGCATGACGTTGACTCTTTCCGGTCTTCAAAATGCCTTGCTTCTACTGTTTTAGAAATTGTATATACACTTAAAAATATAGATTGTTTTCTTCATTTAAAAAAAAAAAAAGGGCTCTTAAAAAGTAATCCTTTAAACTCAAGGAACTCAAAAGTGAAAGCCTTTCCAGAGAAAGCCCTTACCACGTCAATGGAATGTCTTGGTAAGAAGGAAGAAAATCTCCGGCTTCAGTACCAGAAGCGGGGCCCCAGTGAGCTCAGCTCTGCAGAGTCCCGTCTAGATTGGGGCTTGGGATCTGGACTCTCAGCTACGTCTTTAACCAAGGAAACCCTACATGCCACGCCACGGCCTCTGCCTCTCGCTTTTCAGTGATTGTCTCTATTTTGGAAGTGCAATTCCGCATCACAAAATCTTTTTCCAAGTAAACATTAATAAAGAAGGCCAAGGGAAAGTGACTGGCGGGAAAACTGCCCGATCCGTAAGAAAAACCTGGGTTCCTCTCTTCTGCTTCAAGGGAGGTGGCGACCCAGAGTCGGACACTCCGCGAACCCACGGAGCACACAATGGGGAGGGTCTGCCCCAGAACCCCAGGCAAGGTGTATTTACTGTACCCGAAGGGCAGAACTGACAGTACCCGCGTAACCACGTCCCCTTCCCTGGGGCTGTCTGCTATTAGCGTAAAAAGGTCTTAGGGCTCTTGGAGTCACTTTTTATTTTCAAAGGAACAAGATGAAGGAGAGAAAGGAAAGGGAGAATGATTTTTGTTGTCTCTAAGAAAGAGAAAGGAAGACACCATGGACCGCTTTCAGAAACTAGAAAACAGGTGTGGTACTAAAGAAAGGGTTTTTTAAAGTTTCAAGCAAGCGCTTTCCATCCGAACCAGTCAGGAAGTCCGAGACAGGAAATATTTTAATAAGACATAACCGGAACTGAAGTAAAATCTGGGAAATCCAGAAAAATCAATTCGTCAACTCACTCGCACCATCTTGCTAAGGAAAACGTACTAAAACTGTAACTTACACCGTGTTCTTCCTTCCCGCAAGGCCTCTGGCAATGGGCTTCGCCGGGGATTCCAGTGAGTGTCCCGTGGTAAACCGACTCTTCTCTACACCCGCCTGTGGGACCCCAGCTGGCTAACAGCATGACTGAGGTAAACACGCTGACCCTCAAGTCAAGTTCCAGCAGCTGCGATTTTCTTCATTTGACCCTCAACATCGACAAATGTCATGTCTCCATTTTACCGACTGGAAAATAATAAACTGCGCTAAAAATGAGAGCAAGCTACCAACATTACTTACGACGGGACCCAAGCTGCTAAAAACCCCTCCCGGCAACACTGGCCTTGCCATTTTCAAAGCCAACGTATCACACCGTCATGGGTTTAGGTATTAATACTTTGTAACGATTCCTCACAAAGGTCAAGCCTTCAAAGGCTTAAAATCACTTACTGTAAGTGAAAGATCCTGCCAAGATAGGAAATTATAAAGCAGTGCAATATTCCAGAGATCTATTTCCTGCACTGTTTACACCTGGAATCGAAAGGGCCAGGTCTCCGCACGGGAAATTTCTCGAGCCAACAAGGAGCGAACGTCCCCAGAAGGTCAGGAACAAGAACAGCCTGGCGGAGGCTCTCTTCCGTGGCCCCGACGAGCTTCCCTGGAGCAGTGTGTTTCCTCAGCGGTTAGCTGCGGGGCCACAGGTGCTGCCGTCCCCTGGAGAAAACAACATAGTTCCTGATCTTTCCTGATCTTCGTGCAAGTTTTCTTTAGCAAGAAACATGCGTTTTATACGCTGTCTTCGATGTCGAAGGGCACTTCCGTGGTAAGGACCAGTGTGTGGATGTTCGTTTGTGGCACTAAACATGTGATGCAGAGCGTCCACTGCCAACACGCAGCAATCTGAACCAACCCCACCTTCATCTGTTGCTCACGCTTCAGAATCCGTGATGAACCAAGCAAGTGAGAAGCAGCGTGAAACACAGGAAGCTTTATTGTTTCGGAAGTAGGCGTTTTCAGAGCGCTGTCTCATGCAGCCTTGGCTGGTCACAAATCCAATTTCTTCAGCTGCTCGTACGTCACAAAAAACTGCAGGTAATGGTTAAGGCTGACAACGAAAACGCCATCTTAGCGACACTGACACATAAAAGCGGACTCCCGGACAGCACATCTGACAAGTGTCAGGGCAGACCACAGGCCATGGACATGATTAAATACCGGGGGCTCCATCCTTCTCCGCCCCCAAAAGGTCTTCCCGTTAGCCTTCCCAGGGCCAGCCTGGAACAGAACAATCACAGCCGAGATCCATCAGTGCCCTGGTGGCAGCTCCAAGAGCCTCTCGGAAGATTACATCATGCCGGCCGGCTTTGGGGACTGCTGTGGTGAGCACACTTGCCAAAACAGTAAATTCTATGTGAAACTGAAAGACAGCAAGCCCTGGAAGCCCCCTTGAGGGTCAGCGCTACGCAGGCCTTCCGCAGGAGGGAGGCACAGATAAAGAAAAACAGAGGATGGTGAAAACCACATTTCCTTCTTTATCATTCTGCCTTTTCATGTCTAATGAACAGCTTCTTTCCTGCCTCCCACTTTGGCAAACAGGGAACAATGCTTACGGGCCAAATAGTTCAAGAGCTAATTCCTGTTTATCCTCAGGCACTCTCTAAAATAAGCATTCTAGAACCACGCTGCCAGACTGCATCCTTCCCAAGAGTGGCTAAGGCTATAAAATCAATCCTCGTCTCTCTCTGTAATCGTAAATATTCTCGGCTTCTAAAACAGAGTCTGAACAGAAATTTTTATTGATATCATTACCTTTCAATAATACTATCACTATACCAAGATTCACTTGGCCCAGCACAGAGATTTTATACCTTCCAAGACAGAAAGTGAATAGTTATGTCTTAGAATTGGAGGAACTCAAAAAAATAAGAACCCACTTCTAAATGATCATTAATCACGTCAGCTTATACAAATAATATTCCTTTAGCTACACATTTCTTTCAGACATACTGCAACAGAAAAGGATACAATGATATTCCAAGGACCAAGTCTCAACCAATTCGGCCAAAACCCTTTATACAGAGCAAAGAAACCTTCATTCTTCCATGTCTGTTAGAAGGGGGGGCACAAGTTAACAGCCAACTTTCCAATCATGTCAAATGTGTTAATAATTAGTAGGCAGACTGAATAGTCATTTTTCTTAAAAATAAAACCCTATTTGAGAAGACTACTTAAAAACTCATTGCCCCCTGCCTCCTTTTGCTCTTTGAAGGCTTCTGCAGGGGAGAAGGCGAAGGCTCCATGTCCCACCAGCCCACCCCAAGCAGACACATGGCAGTGGAAGGAGTAAGGAGTGAGATTTAATTCCAATTAGGATCTCTTGCCTCCTTGGACTCGCGCTCACAAGCAGATCGGAAATAAAGAAGTGAAGCAATGGTGGTAAAGATGTAGCCCGAGCACCACTACTTCACGTCGTGAGGTGAGTAACACAAGCGACTCTGCGTGGGTAAAGCAGGCGTGAAGTCTAGGAGGCACCGGCACCACGCCAGAGAACAGGGCGGCCGCGCGTGGCTAACCCCTGGCTCTGGCGGTCCAGACAGGGAGAGAGCTGCAAACTCTCCCCCTCCCGGGAACAGCAAGCCCCAGTGTTTCAGGTGAAAATGATAGTCGCATTGACGTGTTCTTTTGAGAGATGTCTGAATGAGGGACATTCAGGCCAGTCTGATCAGGAGGAGGGAGACACAGCTCTCTCGTGATGTCAGAAAGTAGGATTCTTTTCTCATCCTTCCCAGCAGAGCAGAGGTATAAAGAAAATGACCTTTCATTTCTAAACATTCATCTAGGTTGTGTATTTATAAAAGTTGGCCCCAGTGTGGCCCAAACTGGGTACCATCTCAGGGCTTCAGAGCACCACTCATGGTAATTATAATAACCCTCAAAATTTAGTTATTCCTTAGGTTAAAATATATACATACATATATGTGTGTTCACACACACACAGATATTCACACACATTTGAGGGGCAGTTTCAATGATTAAAACAAACCACTAGAATGTTGAAGATTAAGTAAAATAAGCTTGCTTATTTCATAAGTGTCCTTCATTATTATTAACTATACCAACAAGGCTTTGCTACAGTATCCCAGGCATTACGCTCTTTCCCAGGCATTTTCTCAATCACTGTTACACCAACCCTGGACACACGTGCTATTATTGCCCCCCTTCACTAACAAGGAGACTGAGGGACAGAGTCTGTACATCAACCAGTCATACAATTACAAGGGACGAGGGTTTTACTCGAAACCGTCATGTTTCTGACCCTGAGAGGAAACTCCTGCGAGGGTAACACGGAAGCTAACGAGCTGTGAGAGGACTTCCCATCCCAGCACAGCTGAACACGCCCTCTCACCTGTAGCAAGCAGTCCAGGGTACCTGTGTAGCCAGAGCCTCTGCCGTCTCGAAGGACTCTCTGATTCATCATACGTGTTCTCACAACATCCACAGGGTTTGAGGCCAGGGCCCCGGCCAGACCACAGGTGAAGCTTGAGCTGTGAGAAAGATACCAGCGGGAAAGCGGAAGTTCACCACCATCAACAAAGGCAGGAAACAGCCTCCTCCCAAACTACGTTCAACTGACATACGACAAGACGGTATGTTTCCAGAAGGACATCCAAATCTAAAGCGCTGCACAGACTTCTTAAATATGACATTGATTATAAAGTCCAGCCTCAACCAAGAATACCTTTGAGGTTCTGGAATGTCAATCACAGACACATGAAGGAATGTCATGTGTTAGTGAACTCTGGGGCAGAGCCTTTCACACCGGACAGGTGTATCAAATCGTTATGTCGTACACTTTGAAGAGCTTACAACTTTGTTGGTTAAATATACCTCAATGAAGCTAAGAAATGAAAACGATAGAAATAAAAAGCCAAGTTAGAGAATGCAAACCATGATCTTGCTCGTGTAGTAAAGTACACAATATTTTTGTAGACAGATTTGCATGTGCCTAAAAACAAGCTGTTGCCGATGGTTACTTATGTAAACAGATAAGGACTTTTACTTTGTCCTAGTTCACTTCTGAATTGTAATTCTCCAAATATGAGAGCATAATACTTTTATAACATACTTCTTTAAACTTTCCAGAAATCTGTAGCAAATTGCCACCCTGAACTCAAGCATACCTAAAATATTATTTTTTTTGGAAATCTATGAACATACAGGAAGTGGGTATAGACAGTGTCTCCCATCAGGCCCGAGAGAATCAGGTGCTTCTTGGTGAGGTCATAGACCGGTAGCTCCACGCCGACAACGATAGCAGCCCTCTGCGCAGTAAGGGACACGCCCTGGGTAAGAAGATAAATAATCAAGACTCAGATAGCTCTCCCTGGAACAGGCCTTGTCAAAAAACGTAGAGTGACAGAGTAGAAAAGAACAGAGGGTAACAAAGTCGGAAGCTCAAGTCCAGTTCCGATTCTGGCGCTAACTGTATGACCTTGGCCAGACGCGGCCAGGACAAGTCACCTCGCAGAGGCTCTGGTTTCCTAGTACACACTGAGAAGACTGTCCTGGATGACCCTTACGGTCTATTCTGTGAACTGACAGGTCAGTAGAATTCCAGGAAAGAGCATTCCACAGCAGCGCTTGCCTAGTAACGGTCTCCACTTAAGGACCAGGAAGCCATACACACACACGAAAAATGCAGGAGCGCCTGGGTGGCTCAGTCAGTTCAGTGTCAGACTCTTGATTTGGGCTCAGGTCATGATCTCACGGTTCGTGGAATTAAGCCCCACATCGGGCTCTGAGCTGACAACATGAAGCCTGCTTGGGATTCTCCCTCTCTCCCCCCTCCCAAAATAATAAATAAATAAACTTTAAAAAATAATAATCCAGCATTAAGCTATAACCTAGAAAACCCTTCTCTATGAGAATTTTTTAAAGAAAAAGGAAACAACAAAATCCTCAATCTTCTTCATAATTTTACATGAATTATTCAAAAGGTATTTTAAAATATGACATATTCCTTGTGTTTCCATTTTCCAGTTAGGAAATTAAGGAAGAAAGTAACTTCAAGGACAGACTCCGCTCCTCTTCCCATCCTTACTCCATTTTGCCTTTTGGATTAAGTAAATGATAGAAACAGGAAGAACAAATTCAAACAAGAACAGGGAAGCACTAACGAAGACAGCTGGCTCTGTCTTGCAGGCTTACCTTCCACAATCCTCTCGCTCCTTCTTGCTGGTAAATGTTAATGAAGTTGCCTATCATCCCCCCTTGAATGGTGCTGCTCTGTGCTTGCATCCGTATCTAGAAATTATTTTAAACATTAACGTGAGAAGAAAACAGCACATTTCTCCCCGAATGTAGACTTCTAAATATCATTCAATCTGTTATTTAATAGCCATTAAAAGAAAAGAATTATAGTATAAATATGACCATCATGCTAGCTTGAAAAGTCCTTTGGAGACAAAACATTTTTAAGGCTTGGTTCTTAGGCACTTTGGAATCAACAAAATGAACTCAGCAGAACCCAGAGCTCATTAAGTGTCAGAAAAAACCTGGTTTTTTAAAAAAGCCTTTTGAAAAGGAAAGAAAATTGTGTATGTCCTTATAGGTTAATAAGTAGGAAAGAGAAGGTGACGGTAATACTAAGATTTCACATAATTAATAGGAACATCCAGCAGAGCTGGCAGCACTAAGCAAAGACAAGCAGATTTCTTAAATTAGTTACTTCAAGCCACTACTATTTCCAACCAGCTGAACCAAAAGGCATGCAGGCGAGCCGAGCACGGGATGCCCACATGATGCCTGTCACACTCTGTTACACTTGAATGTACAAATACGCTCGACAACGGCTGTGGAATTCACATGACCAAGATGCCAACATAAAAATAATGGTTGGTGTAGCTCTCTGTACTTTTTAAAATTAAAAGGGATTTACCACCACAAATTGATACCTTATTTCTGTTTAGGGAGCAAAAACATTACCTCCAACTTCTAAAGGACACTGTTATTGCCACGCACATGGGAAAATAAACCAAAACACGGGAACGGCCTTTCCCTAAGCCCAACATAGGTTTAAGAGATTAAGGGGAGTGTGGCTATTTTTCTCCACTTTTCCCCAGCAAAGGGTAAAATGAGAGCAGAAGCACCCTGGCACACGCTGCACCTTGACCACGCCTCAGCGTAGCGCCCTCAACACGCTGCCGCCGCCAGTGCAGACGTCTGTCAGAATCTCCCATTAGACGGAGGGCTCTGAGGGCAGGCTCCTATCGTACTCATTTTTGGACTCTAAGCACACAGTACGTCACCTGGCAGAAGGCAGGAGCACAGTGCATGCTTGTTAACTAACAGGAGCAAAAAGCATAGGAAGGGACAGAGACGAACATCCTGAGAGGGCTGAAAAAGTAACTCCTGCCTAATTGCTCTTTTGTTTAAATTAGCTTCTTCCCTTGGAGCACCTGGCTGGCTCAGTCAGTTAAGCATGACTTCAGCTCAGGTCATGATCTCGCTGGTTCGTGAGTTCAAGCCCGGCCTCGGGCTCTGTGCTGATAGCCTGGAACCTGCTCTGGGTTCTGTGTCTCCCTCTCTCCCTGCTCCTCCCCCACTCGCATGTTCTTTTTCTTTCTCTCTCTCTCTCAAAAATAAATAAACATTAAAAAAACAACTTAAATTAGTTTATTGCCTTGCCTTGCTCCAGAAAGGATTTAAGGAGGCAGTTTCCCTGTTATTGTCAATAAGGCCATCCAATGTGTTATGTCTAACTGTGGTAAGGAAACATTTCCATCATTAATTCCTGAAATCAAGTTAACAGATAACAGCACACATTCAGAAATGATCATTAATGAGTGGACTTGTACAGAATTTGCAGCTACTCAATTTTTAATGAACCAATAAAATCAGGAAGATTTTCAATGAAAATGAAATTCAAATGCATCCAAGCCTCAATTTTTTTTCTGCTTAATCACCAAAAACCTTGTCTCCACAAAGAGCTCTACTTTTGAGCGCGTCCGTTATCAGTAAGAAATCCACCTGGTGGGTGTTTATAAGTCAGAGTCTTCATGGCACTTAACTTGTACACAAGTTCACACACACAGTGTATGTTACATTTGCAGACTTTCATTATCTAAACGTTGTTCCAGTAAGAAAATGTGGCGGGAATGTGCCTATAAGATATGGAGAACACTACTTACTTTCAAAACGTCCGTTGGATTAGCAATGGTTGAGGATATGACTCCAGAGAGGATTCCACACACCACATTTACCAGTAGAGTTTCATCTATAAATAGGCACATAGTATTCGACTTCTTGTATGTAAGAGCTTTTCATTATCAGTAACTCAAATATCGGTGTAAACTCATTTGCATACCTCTTGTAGATCTTAAGAGAATAATAAAATTTCTGCTTTATGAACTGAGCAATTTTTAAAATATTGGGAATTTTGCTGGCTTAACGGGACTTTGCCTAGCAAGATTACTTGACGTCTGTTTGCTTTCAATTTGTTTTTGTAGTTTAAAGAGAGTTTTTTAAAAAATATCTATTTATTTAAATGATCTCCACACCCAATAGGGGGCTCGAACTCATGACCCAGAGATCAAGAGTCGCAGGCTCTTCTGACTGAGCCGCCAGGTGCTGCAAAATTACTTGGCATCTAAAAAGGATGTGAACTATCATGCAAAGTGAACAGCCATCTATCAATTCACTTTTGTGTGTAAATGCCTATTACTGTACTAATTAAGATAAGTGTATCTCATAAGAGAATAAAAAAGATACACTTCTATGAGATAACCAGTAAGATACGTTTTAAAGCACACCGGATGTATTTAATTTGAAGTGTACTCAGCTGCTACAGCACGTCCGCTCCTGCTGACCTCTCTCACGCAACAGCTGACTGGTGCTCATCCCATTGGAAACCAAGTTGTACGGACTAAAGCAAAGTCACAGAGTCAATCAGCAATACAGTATTAGAACTCAGTTCTTGACACTAAGAAGGGTATTCACTGCTTTCCTGAAAAACAGGTGATCATTCCTGATTTTAGAAAATTTTAAGTGGGCTGGAATTATAACAACACATCCTCTAGTCTAGGCGTTTTGGAGATGAGGATAACTAAAATATTTGTAGAGATTGCTCCTTTTAACTGTTATTCCCCTAAACTCAGCCAAGAACTGACTGGCTTTGTGGCGCCTGAGTGGCTCAGTTGGTTCAGTGTCTGATCTCACGGTTTGTGGGTTCAAGCCCCACTTGAACCAGGTGCTGACAGCTCAGAACTTGCTTCAAGCAAGCACAGTTCATTCAGACCTTACACCCAGAGTTCTCCTCAGCAGTAAAGTCACAATTAGGCTCAAGAAAATCTGATCTTGACTTGACTAAAAAGACACACAACCAACCCACCTCCTGTCCACCAGTGCAGAAAAGGTTTCTCACTCACCTTCTGGGTGTTCAACAAACAGCCGCTTCAAGCTCTGGTAAGTGCCTATCTTGATGGTGCCGTAGGAAGCCTGGCGTAACATCGCGGGGGCAATCCTGTCAAACCAACGTACAAGAGCACAGAGAAATTCTAAAACCTGGGCGGCTCGGTCGTTAAGCTTCTGACTGTAACACATGCATGATCTTAGTTCATGAGTTCGAGTCCCACATCTGATGAGCTCGAAACCCCACTTTGGGTGAGCTTCACTTCTCTCTCTCTGCCCCTCACTCACTTGTGCCTTCTCTCTTTCTCTCTCTCTCTCTCAAAAAATAAAATATATATATACATTCTAAAAAGCACTTTAAAACCTCTAGAAGACACACACAGAGATATCAGCCTTCCACAATCAAACTGCTCAGAGTTCTCAAAATTCAAAATCTAATAAAAATATAGCTGGGTTCTGATTAAATGTGTGCAAATTATTAGTTCACTACATGGAAGTTCAGCCCCCTGTAGTTGTCCTTAATGAAAATGTAAGTGAACAGGGAGTTCTATTCAAATGAAAGGGCTGTCCTTTCTCAGGACAAGGTGCCTCGTGAAATCTGCCGTCTGCCAACATCTTCGGCTGCTGCTCTAGAGCCCAATTCCCATCTCCCTGAGGGCCCTGCTCCAGTATTTCCTCTCCCGCTCTCGGCCTTGCAGACCCCAGAACCATCCTGGGACAGTTACCTGCCTCAGCTGTTCCTGTGCTGCCCACTTCCTTCTGGAAACGCAGTCTGCCTTCCCTCTCTCACCACCAAGGTGACTAACTGACATCGTTGTCACTAAATTAAATGATGCGGTTCACTTAGTACTTCCATGACCTCTCTGTGGTACCTGCTGCTGTCCACCCTTTGTCCTGCGTGCGGTCTCCTCCCCGAGCTGTGTCACATCCCCTCTGCCATTTCTCTCCTTTTCTCCGCAGCCTCCCTACCTCTGTCCTCCAGGGTATTCTGGGAACTCTGTCCTATGCTTCCTTCTCTCCCCGCTCCACACACTCCCGGGTGAGCTCATCTACTCCTGTGGCTTCGACACTGTCCAAGGCTTACGACTCCGAAATTCCTGCTTCCAACACTGATCCAACGGTGCATTTCCAACTGCCAATTCGCGTGTCCTACACCCACCCCCAGATCGAGTGTCCCACAGTGAACTAATCCTCCCGCCCCAACCAATCAGCTCTCCTCTCAGTTAACTGGACCAGAGACTGGAACCTCCATCAACACCTTAGCCGAAAACTCGAAATCAAGACATCAGCCTTGTCCCCTGCTTCCTCCACACCCCCTCGTATATCAGGTCACGTAACAGGGCAACCCCATTCCCTAAACAGGCTGTCTTCTTTCTCTCTGTGTCCAAGACAACCCCTCTGGTCAGAAAGTCGTTGTCCTTGCTTCCCGCGTGACAGGCTGCTTCCACTGTTATCAGTTCTCATTCTCTCTCCCCACAGCAGACCGGCTTCTTTTTACCATGGAAACCCTATCACATCAGTCCCCCTAACTTAAACCCCCCAGCAGCTTCTGTCTGCCACAGGCACAGCAAACAAAAGCACTTATGGGTACAAGGCAGATGCCTTAACTGAGTGACACGGGCTGGTCTAACTGCACACACATACATCCTGTGAGAGGCAGACGTTTCCATGAACCAGAGGAGGCATCCTTGACACCTATTAGTATTATCCTAAGTGAATGAACATGGGCCCAGATGGTGACTTTTCTCAAGAAAATGGAATCAGGTTTCTGTGTGCAATTTCTCATAGTTTACAGTATTGGCTCAAGTGAGAAACAAAAACCTTTGGTAGGTAGGAGGGCTGTGCAGCATCGATTTGGGACCTGTGGTGTCCTAGATGAAATCAAGATGCTTCGCATGTCCTGAGGCTGTCTGTGTCCTGCTGCCTTATTAGGGCTCCAACTCCATCTCTTGCTACTCAGCAACTCCAACACTACCCCTAGGCCAATAGACTTGCAGTGCCTAGAATGCACCACGCTTTCCTGCACATACTGCTGGTTCTGTATAAATACGCTTCCCTTTTCTTTTTTTTTTAAGTAGGCTCCGCGCCTACTCAAAAGCCCCAATGTGGGACTTGAACTCACAACCCTGAGCTCAAGACCTGAGCTAAGATCAAGAGTCAGCTGCTTAACCAGCTGAGCCACCCAGGTTCCCCAACAGTTCCCTTCTAACCTCACCTGGCAAACTCACTCTTGATCCTTCAAGCTCAGACCCAGCACCTCCTGGGTCAAGCAGCCTTCCTGAAACCCACCCCCTTTCCTGTCCCCACGGGTCTGGGCTTGGTGCCCTGCCTCTACCAGACTCTAGTACTCGTTATCAGACTCCACTGTAATCCTGTTTACACCGCCGCAGCCCCCACTGAATGACAGCCCCTTCACGACTGTGTGTTGCTGCTGATCCCCATTTGTCTGCCTGGATCCAGTCTCGCCTTCTCTGTGATGCTTTTCGCCCGCAGAGAGGGTGGTACCCGCACATGTGTCACTCAGGCTACCCTGCCAACTGACTTCAGGGTGGATTCCACTCGTAGATGACGGGAGGAGGGGGCGCAGGAGGAGGGGAAAGAGAGGTATCTCTCCCTGGGCACTCCAAAAGCATCCCTCAACAACTGTCTGCTCCTTCAAGGCTCCAGCCCTAACAGGCTCTGCTGACACCATTCCTGTCTCTGTCCCTTTGGGCCTAGCGTTGGTGACAATTTCTCACTTTGGAGGTGTCTAGGTACCGCAATATCCTTCCTCTGTTCCCTTAACCTTTAAGTAGTCCCTTCATTAAAGTCACCTCACAGAAACCACCCAAGTGCATTGTGTTTCCTGCAGGGGCCCGGGCTAACACAGGCACCTGCCTTACTCGCCCTCCTAGCCCGCGCCGTCAGCACAGTGTTCACTAATGTTGGATTATAGAAAAGTGGTTCACAGCTCTTACCCACGAAGAATACCCTACCATTTTCCCTAGAGCAAAAACCTTGGTAATTCAGAATAGTCAAGGGGGAAGAAGGGCTTTTGTCAGAGTGAAACGCTGAATTATGTAATGTTTTGTGGAAACATATAAATTTTGCAGTATTAGCTGTATTTGAATATAATAAAAAAACATACTTTCAACACAACATTCACTACATAAAAGATGTATAGAAAATACAAGTTGAAATGAAAAATCTACCAAGCTACTTTTCAAATACCTCAAGTTTCTACTTTTTCTCTATGAAGTCTCTGTTTTCAGTAGAAAAACGCACAAGGGTCTACTTACCCTGAATACAGGGCTTTCAGCCCTTCTTCTCTGCCTATCCGCACTAAGGCGTGCAACATTCCTCGATACCGGATTTCTCTAAAGTTTGCATCATTTGTCTGGCCTTGAATCTGGAGCCGTGTCTTGGTTAAATCAATTGGAAAAGTACCTTAAAATAAAAAAAAAAAAAAAAAGAAATATTTCACTTGATAAAAAGAAATTCCACCAAATAAAGAATACATGGTGATATATTACTAAGGAAATATTTTGACTATAATGTAAACTAAGAAACAGAATTAAGAAATGGCAGATACTTTGCAATCCTTTTTCTATTAAAAAAAGTATTAGGGGGCACCCGGGTGGCTCAGTCAGTTAAGCATTCAACTCTTGATTCTGGTTCAGATCATAATCTCACGCTTCATGACATAGAGCCCTGCGACTGTGTTGGGCTCTCGGACAGTGTGGAGCCTGCTTGGGATTCTCTCCCTCCCTCCCTCTCTCCCTCTCTCTGTCTCTCTCTCTCACTTCCCCTCCCCCGACCCCTCCCCCACTCACACACACACTCTCTCAAAATAAATATTTTAAAAAAATTACGAACCAGAAGATTAAAAATACCCCCAAAATGCACAAAAGTATTTTCCTTTATTTGGTTCTCATCTTACTCTACATAGGATTTGAGAGGCTGCATTGCTTTAAAAAAAAAAAAAGAAAAGAAAAGAAAAGTAGGTCTAGGGAATGATTTACGCCAACAGGAAATCCATTTTAAAATGTTACTATCTTTTGCATGTGTGAAGGCTAAAAACAAGTTCAATAGGAATGAAGAGGGTGAGCTCATCTTCTGAAGGAGTTTCTCACTCTGTGTTCTGTAGTCTAGAAGTCAATCTGTGAACACAGGCACAAATGTTAAATACAGCGGCCAACAGGTAGTCCACCCGAATTCCGAACACTGTCAGCAAACTGGATTCGCCGTGGAATAGAGAGTCCGCCCCCACAGGGAACCATGTGGGTAGGTGGTTAGCGTGCCTTAACCCCCCAGGCCTGGGCCTCACTGGCTCGTTGGGGGCAGCCTCAGTCTCAGGACAGCAGCCCCGAGCTCTGAAGGCAAATGACGTGACCAGCCCCGACCTGGCACTGGGCAGCTGTGCCATCAGCACCTGGTGAAGGAATTCCGACGGGGAACAGAGACAGATCAACGGGGTCTGATCGGGACCTCCATGGAAGAGGAAGCCACCAGACAACGTGGATCGGCCTAATTACAGAGTGACTGCACAATGACAGTAGGTCAAATCTGGCACAAGGGGAGACCTGCGAGCTCCCCAAAACTCTTCTGCAGCCACAGGTGCCAACGGTGGCGAGGTGGAAAAGCACAAGAATAACAGGGACAGAGGGAACCTAGAAATGACTGATAAAACATGTTTGATTCCAGGTTCCACTTTCTCCACAGTAAACTTTGACCCCTAAACTGCTAGGAGCCAAAATGACTATTTGTCTGAAAAACATCCCAAAAGGAGGAAGTTTTGAAATCCGAGATTAGCGTTTCATGTTCTCGCATTCTGTGCTTCAACTCCAGTCACATCAAACACCAGATCACAACCTTAACTTTTAATCAGTGTCACATGCAGCTCGCGAGCCACTGATCCAGCCCCGAGGGTGCCTTACCGCACTCGGCCGTGATGGAGGCCAGCCCTCCGTACACAAAGGGCTTCCAGTTGAGGGCCGACATCTTCACCACTGGTCCCTTCTCCTTTGGTTAGAGAAACATAGCCTCCCACAGGGGTTCTCCTGGACACAAAGGGGAAGGCATTTCAAAGTCGTAACTTCATGCACAAGCAATTTCTCCTTTAAACTTGTGTTGCATTTGGAGAGCATCGTCAGATTGTCGTCAGTGACCGCCCTCCACACCCCAACACTTCCCAAGGGGAGCCTCCCCTTCATAAAGCCAGGCCCGGCTCTCCACTAAACTGTCTTTTATCAGTTGCCTTAAATCTCGTTCAGACCTTAAGTAACATGATACACTGGGAAGGTGAGATGGTGTATGTGCTGAGCACAAGGGAGGCTCTTTTCTGGGTAGTCCATTTTATCTAAAGTCTATTCACATTCACTCAACAAATACATGTTATTTGTTTGCCACTTCCTAGTGAGTCCTTCAGGTGCACCAGAGCAGAAAACGGTGCAACCTAGTATCCTAAGGTAAAATGACAATTACTTAAAAGTACAAAAATATACTTCTAGTTCATTAACTCTATAAACGTTAGTGTTCTTCTCTTAATCGTATGGTGTGAAGAGCTGGGAGGCAGCTCGGTGCAGACTCTGGGGTCAGAGCCACATCACTTCCTTCCCAGGGATGCTCCTATTCACCTCAAGGCTTTTTTCCTCATCAATGTCATCACCACCAAAGCAGCCAACGCAATCAATTGGGGGTGGAGCTGATACTTCTATTTGCAAAGCTAAATAAAATGCCAAGCTGTTAATTCAATTGCGGGGATTAAATATACATTTTTAAACTAGCACAGAAAAGGCACTCAACAAATGCTGCCTTGCATCTTCCTGTCACTTAAAAGGTGCTCAGACACTGCGAAATATATTGACATGCCTGCCATGCCAGGTCCCCCACATTCATTATACATTACATATTATACACAACTTTATGCACTTTCAGTTGGTAAATCTGGCCTCACATCCATTAAGAGGAGAAACATGTAGATAAACATATTTTTGTGTATGTAATATTAACCGTACTTATTCTTGGTTTGAAATAAAATTTCTGGGGCGCCTGGGTGGTTCAGTGGGTTAAGCATCCGACTTGGGCTCAGGTCATGATCTCACAGCTTGTGGTTTGAGCCCCACATCAGACTCTGTGCTGACAGCTCAGAGCCTAGAGCCTGCTTTGGATTCTGCCTCTCTGTCTGCCCCTTCCCTGCTCATGCTCTGTCTCTGTCTCTCTTTCTCTCTCTCAAAAATAAACATTAAAAAGTTTTTTAATAAAATAAAATTTATAATTTATTATAGTCATTATTGGTAAGAGATACACCCAGTGTTTGTACTCTTCATGTTTCAGGAGTTTCTCAAGACTAAATTTTCAAGAAATGTCACTATTGACAAAAATGTCAGTTAACAACAAGGCTGGGGGTTTTGCTTAAACTAAGAAAAAACACAAGGAACCCAGAGGAGACTATAAATAGATCTACCTATAGCTATTCTCATTTATGGACATTAACCGAATTCAGACTGGTTACAAGTACGATGAAAGGCACTCTAAAAATGGAACCTGAAAATCATCATTTGCTTTATGTGTTTCAGGACCAAGAACAAACCTTGCCCCCAAAAACTCATCTCAGCTCCTTATTATCCTCAAAAAACATTTAATAATATCTGAATGTAAATAATTTTTAGTCTTACTATATACCTAATATAATATTAATACTGGAAGTTATATAAACTGTCAGAACACATTAATAATAAATCCAATAATTCATAAACTGTCCAGTAGTGCCTTCCTTAATCCATTCTTAAGATTCTCCTGAATCAAAAAAAAAAAAAAAAAGGCTGTAGGGGCACCTGGGTGGCTTAGTCGGTTAAGCGCCCGACTCTTGATTTCAGCTCAGCTCATGCTCTTACTGTTTCTGACTTCCAGTCCCACACAGCGCTCCACGTGACAGTGCAGAGACTGTTTGGGATCTCTCTCTCTCTCTGTTCCTCAACGTTCTCACTGTCTCACTCTCTCACAATAAATAAACTTAAAAGACAGCAATAACTACATAACAGTGATGTGTGGAGGTGCTGTAGCTTTAGAAAAGTGTCTAATATAAAAGATTTCAGCAGATCCCCCAACAAGTTTGGGATAGGAGGACAGAAAAACAGACTAGGAAACGGAACCCCAGCAAGGTGCCTTGCCCAAGGCCACCCGGCTAATGGGGCAGAACGGGGCCTCCAACCCAAGTGTTCTGATTCCAAGTACCATGTTCCTTCTGCTACCACCTGAGGCTGAATGCAATCATAAAGGAGGGATGGTGTTTTAATTTAGAAGAAAATATTACTAAGCAGCTCCAAAAAGGTACTTCTCATAAGATGCATCCTATAAACAACAAAAATGTGTTTAAGACACAGGTGTTAAGAGAATGTAACATTCAGAAGGCAGTCGATCTAAACAGCAGAAATTTATTTTTCCAACATACAAAGATGGTATTCAAAAAATTGGGGGACAGGAGGAGTTTTTTACAGAGGTGAAATCCACATACTCTAAAATAAGCCATTTCAGTGAGCAATTCGGTGGCGTCTCATACATTCAGGACGTTGTACAACCACCACCTCTATCTAGTTCGAAAATATCACATCACCAGGAAAGAAAACCATTAAGCAGTTGTTCCCAGCACCCCCTCCCTCTGGCTTTCATAAGGTTTTTATTTTCTTGGATGTGACACTATATATGCATTAAGTAGCTGTGTGGACCGTAAGGCTCCTTATTAGTAGCTCCTCACCTGACTGTAGAGCTTCCTAAAAGTATATACACTGGCCCTACGTACTGAATGAGGATCTCGGGGACATTCCGAGCATCTGGGCTGTTACTAGAAATCAGCGAGTTAAATCCCCCGCAGCCAATTCACACCTTGGAATACTTACCACTTAAATTCCCACTTTAAATAGTTAATTCTCAGTGATGATGTTACAGTTGACCCTTCTTTTTATGCATCTTATTGAGTAGTGATTTTTTTTCTACACAAATATGTGGTGTATGTGTGTCTTTATATAGAGAGATACATATACACACACAAGGTATCCTGCAAAATGTCAGCAAAACTGTATGGGAAATGGAATGGTCACTGACCTCTAACTTAAAAACAAGCCAAATATTTTTTTTAAAGACTATACTTTCATATGACCTACGTCATCTCACTGATTAACTTTCTTATTTCCTCCCGGCCTTATTTGTTTTACTAGTTTAGTTTTAATGGCTACTTTTGGCTGTTTTTCTTCCATCAATGTTTTTAGTTAGATCAAAACCAAAAAAAACCTCTCGATTATACTCCCATGCAAATACTCAACTAGAGCTCGAAACCGATGTGGAATTGCGTCCCCCTGATTCTGAATCAAGTGGATGGAGCACATACCCATTTGGTCCTATTCACGTGTACCACCACCACGAGGTGAGAGTCCATTCCCGCACTCCTGGTTAAACTGTAAGAAAGTACTTTCTATTCAACTACAATTTTTTAAAGTTAGCTAGGAAGGGGGTAAAAATTACCTTTGGGCTCTTCTCTTTTCCTTTCGGAACTCTAGGCCTGAATTCCTGATCAGATAAGCCTACTGCCTGCCTTCCCAGGCTCATGCTTGCTGTGTCAAAGAAAGAACGTTGGGTTAAACAGCAACCAGCGAGTATCAGTAGTTGCTACTGAGCCAAACAAGAAAGGGTTCTAGCTAAGACCGGAATGGGAGACCTACGTCCTGAAGCTGTGCTGGCCACAGCTAGCGGAGGCAGGGCTGCAGCTATCTCAAGCTGAAACCTCGGGTCAGGAAGCTAAATCATTTCTTTGTTTCGGAGCTCTCTTTGTCCTAGCACAATTTTGGGGGGAAATCACGACTCTACTCAAGTCCCAACACTGACAGGCCAGCACAGTCAGGCAGCCTGCTGTGTCACTAGTGTCTGGGCAACACCTGAGCCTGAGACCAGGGAAGGAATTACCACTCTGCAAAAACTCCAGCGCCGGATAACAGAGCTTGCGAATCGCTCCCCACTCGGCACTCCTCTTCTAGGCCATCCCTCTAGCCGGCCAGACCCCGTGAGCACTTCTCAGCTGCCTTATAAACACAATTCTAACAGCAACAGCCGCCATTATCCACTGTCTGGTATGTCAGGCATCGCTATACGTTTTCCACAGAAAGGATTTCATTTCATCCTTCCAGCCCTGTGAAATATGTATCCTTATCCACACTGCACGATTGAGGAATGACGCCTCAGAGAGGAAAAGTGACTTCCCCTAGTCACACAGCTACAATGTACACAAGCTAAGGTCTCCCTGAAGGAACACATGATCCGTCCTCTATGAATTACAAAGCCAGACACTATTTTTCCAAATCTGTTAAAAAATATTAGGGAGGGAGAGGGTAGGAAATTCTGCACATTCTGAATAAATGTGCGATTTTCCTGCAAAGGAAATACGAACTTTCCATCTATTAAGTGTTTCCTGAGTAAAAATGTCTATAAAATAAAGGATTCTAAAGGCTTCTCCCTACACTTAAGATATGTGTATCCCATATCCCCTCTCTGTCATTTTCTCTTACTTAGTACTTATTTTCTCCTTACCTCATTTGCACAGCTGCAAAAAGAGGTAAAATACAGTACGGTGATTGCTGCTGGAACTTCTGAAAGCTTTCCAAGTTCCTGTTATATAATTAATTCTAGAGAAGTTTTTTCAAATTTACCTGCGTTCCCCGTTAAGTCTACAGTCTTAAACTGGAATCACAGTCTTCAAAATGTTCCCTCTTAAATCTTTATTCCCCATATATCTGCCTTTCATGGACTTTTCCTATTTCCAACTGCCTTTAAAGGTACAATATGCAAAATAAGCTCATCGCAGACTTATGCAACGTGGAATTTAAAAGGCATCTTAGAAGTCATACCGCATGTCACATGAATTAACTGAGCCCACGATCACGAAACTTGGCAGCGGCAAAGCCAAGGCCAGAATTCATGCCTTTGAACTTTTCTCCCAAGAGGAGGCCGAATCGACCCTGCAGGGCAGTCCCGACACCGTCCGGCTGTCTTGCGCAGGAGCAATAATGATGAACACTGCAAATGCTTTTACATCAAATTACTTAGACCTAGAAAGACGCTACAATGCGGAGCTACATGAACCTTCCAAGCTAATGAACTGCACCCGTCCCTCCAAACGTGAGCCAACCCGGCGTGTCCCAGGGGCAATTCCCAGACCAGCGAGCGTGCCCTCTCCCAGAATAGGAAGCTCGCTGGCGCCCTGGCTGCACGCTCTGAATGAACCGCAAGTGGGAAGGAAGCAGAGGCGGGAGAAACACGCCGCGGGGGCCGCGGCGCACACGCCGGGATCCCACATGGGCCTCACACTTGGGATCTGAGACACTGGGACCGAAGTCACTCCACGCCGCCAAGCGTTGAGGCCCGGGAGCCGGCGTCCCTGCGGGAAGAGCGGGGTCCGGCCCCAAAACCTCGGGCCCCGGGCAGCCGGGCCCCGCACGCGACCCGGGGAGCAGCGGCAGCCCCCGAGCACGCCCGGCCGCGTCGGCGCTCTCCGGGCCCGCCGTCCGACCGCAGTCCCAGCCCCGGCCGAGGCCGACCGGAGGGGCAGCACCGCCCGCGGCGGGGCAAGGAGTCCCAGGCCGACCGGTTCCGGACGCCGCAGCGAAAGAGGGGCGGGCGGGCGGGCTGAGTAGCGAGCGGGAGCAGGCGGAAGCGGCCATCGCGGCCGCGGCCCAGTGGTCAGACACTTACCCGGCGCCGGTGGCTCGGCAAGTCCTCCTACCCACGCTCAGCAGCGGCCGGAGCCGGCCGGCACCAGAGCAGTAAAAAAGGCTGCGGCGCAGCAAGGGCCGCTCAAGCCGCTTGCGTCCGGCCCCACCCACCCCGCCCATCAAGCTCCGCCCCCGCCGCGGCTCCTATTGGCCGCTCCGGCCGCGGCCACGCCCATGGCAGCCGGCGATTGGCTGGCCGCAGAGGGCCCCAGGTACCAGGGAGCCGGTTTCCCGCAGAGAAGGGTGGTAGCGGCCGGAGACTCGGTGACACCTCCCACGGCCCTGGGTCTCGACCCCGCAGTGAAAGAGAAACTTTAGCGAAAGCACCGAGAGCCACGGAACGGGAGGCTTCTCAGGGTGCTGATTCTCTGTATCCACGTGAACCTCCGTAGTAAGAGGAAGTAAACTTGCACTTTTTTAATCCCAGCCTTTTGGTTTGAAAACTTACAAACCGACTGAAGAGTTGAAAGACAGTACAGACTTCTCTCAATGCCACCATTTCACATTTGCGTTCTCTTCACTAGATAGGTAACCCCCCCCTTTGTAAAGTTGCCCACAATGCTGCTTCATCCCTAAACACCTCACCATCATCACATGCAAGAAATTTAATACCATTTCTGTCATATCATTTAACATACTGTTATATTTAAATCTCCTTTGTTGTCTCAAAATGTCATAAACAGGCACACACGCACACGCACGTCTTTGAAAATTCAGGTTCTACCAAAGATTCACCTGTTTCATTTAGTATCATGCCTCTTTATAAACTCCTGTACTCTACCACCCAAGTTCTAGCCCTCCTACGTTTTAAAAATCTTTCATCACTTGGACTATTTGAAAAGTCCAGGCCAATTGTCTTGTAGACTATATCAATCTGGATTTATCAAATTGTTTCCTCATGATTAGATTCAGGTTCAACATTTTAGTAAGAAAAGTAGGAGGTGATGTGTATTTCCATGAGAAGGCACAGTGTTCTTTTGTCCCATCATCCATGATGCCAAGTTGGATCACTTAGTCAAGGCATCAGCGGGCAGCTCTCTCCACAAAAATACTGTCAAATGTTCAGAAATGATAGAAATAAAACCAATGAATCACCAAACTAGTAATCAGTTAAAGTTTATCGTGCACACATCAGGAAGACAGTTTGCAAATAGGAAGCACTCAAACCAAAACAAGGAATGAGGTTCAGGAGTATGTTGTCATAAAGCAGCTAATATAGCAAGCAACCAGTGGCTGTTCTGCACAGTGATTGGTTATAAAATGAGAATTTTCTTAAATGACAGGGAACTGGTCAGTGCTTATCTCCTATCAACCTTAAGAGTTCGAGTCTTGCTTATGATTTCCAGAGGCATAAGCAAGAAAGGATCCAGATCAAGTTAGTCTTGCAAATTAAGTGCTGTGTGATTAAACAGGTTTCCCCTGCTCAGAGAATTTTCAAGGCTGGTCTCCGTTTGATTTTTGTTTTAACAATACCTCTCTCCCAAGCAACAGACATTATCTGCAGATAAGCTGCACCCAGCGAATATTTTTGCCCAGGGGTGTAACACACATTCGTGAAAGCTTATCAAGTGCCAATTTTCTAATGTTATCATTCCTTCTACCTATCTGAAGAAGAGTGCCCCCTTTTTTCTCCTTTTCTCCCCTGCTTCTTATCCCAGTCACAGCTCCTCTTCCCTCCTTTTCGAGTAAGTATGGACTCCTGCATTTTTTTGAAATTCAATTTCAGTTACTATAATCAAATACCATATATTTTTGGTGCTCAAATTGCCCATATTTGGCCAATGGAAAGCCCCACGCCTGGCTCCTTTATTCTTATATATATATCCTATCGATCTTTGAGCACTTCCTTGTTTTCTGACACGAGACCTACTAACTCTTCATTGAATGTTCTGTGCCCTAGACAGGGGTCCCCTAGTTCCTTTTACTAGGAAATGGCACTTAGAAAATTAGATCTGAGTACTTACTGTGCTTACTGCTTCTGGGATGTTATTCTTCTCCCTCAGTGAAAACCCTAATTCACAATTTAAAAGGTATCTTAGAATATCCCCTCTCCTCCATTTTCAGCATCAACTTATTTGTTCATTTATTCTACAATGTAAAGAAAATGGTTGAGACTTACATACCAGTCGTATCAGCAGCAACAAAACTTCGAAACTCAAGATTTCTTGGCTGCTCTTTGTATCTTTATAACACATCCTTCGAAATGGTGTATGGGTAGAAAACCGCGCTTAAAAGTTACTTGAATTAATTGCTTGTTGGCATGTTATGGTCTCTATTCGATACACTGCTAAGTCTGTTATTTTTATTTGCATCGGTGTTAGAGTTTGCTTTTTTCATCTTGTTCATTTAACTCCATTTTTTTGAATGTATAAAGCATTCACATGGTTCAAAATAAAATCTTACGAAGGTTAAACTCCCTCCCCATTCCCTGCGCTCTGGTCCCACTCACCTCCGAGCCATAAGCACTTTCCTTAGTTTCTTATTTATTCTTCCATTGTCCCCAAATTAAAGAAATATAAAATTGTATATGTTTGTTATCTAGTGCTGTATAACTAAGCTTACCAGCTTAAAACAACAAATGTATTAGCTCCACAGTTTCTGTGGGTCAAAAATCCAGAGGGCCCCAGAAGCACCTGTGCAAGAGGCCTCACAAGAGTGCAATCGAGGTGGCACCTGGGGCTGCAGGCACATCAAGGCTTCCGTTGGGCAGAATCTGTGTCCAAGCGCATTCAGCCTGGCTGTTGGAGGCCTTAGAAGATCCTCTTTCAAGTTCACTCACATGGCTGCTGGCGGGGCTCATGTCCTCACTGGCCACTGGCCAGTGTATTAGTTTCCTCGCAGCTGCCATAACAAATTACCACAAACTGGATGGCTTTTAAAAACAAGAATTCAGGGGTGCCCAGGTGGCTCAGTTGGTTAAGTGTCCGACTTCAGCTCAGGTCATGATCTCATGGTTCCCGAGTTGAAGGCCCTCACTGGGCTCCGTGCTGGCAGGTTGAAGCCTGCTTCTCTCTCTGTCTCTCTCTGCCCTTTACCCACTCGCTTGTGTTCTCTCTCTCTCTCTCAAAATAAATAAGTAAAATTTTAAAAATAAATATAATTAAAAAATAAAAACAAGAATTCATTCTCTCACAGTCCTGAAGGCCAGGAGTCCAAACTCGTGATGTCGGCAGGACCATGTTCTCTCTGAAGGTTCTAAAGGAGAATCTCTCCTGGTCTGTCTCCTAGGGTCAACCAATTGCCAAATGCCCTCAGCATTCCTTGGCTTGCAACTGCATAGCTTCAAGTTCTGCCTCTGCCTTTACATGGTGTCTTCCCTCAGTATCTGTGTCGCTGGGGTCAAATCTCCTTCTTACAATGACATGACTCAGGAGTAGGGCCCACCCTAATCAGCACGCCTTCATCTTAACTCAATTATATCTGTAAAGAGCCTATTTCCAATATGGTCATGTTCACAGGTGCCTGATGGGTTAGAACTTCCATACATCTTCTTGGTATACAATCCAACCCACAACAGCCAGAATCATCAGGTTCTTACATTGTGGCTTCTCCATGTAACTACTCACAACATGGCAGCTTGCTTTGCCCTGGACACAGGGAGAGCAGGGAGCGAAGGGGAGGTCGATTCCAAGATGGAAGCCACTGTCTCTTTGTTACCTAATTTAGCCCTTCTGCTATATTCTGTGTGCTAGAACCAGTCCCTACGTCCAGCCCAGACTCAAGGGGAAAGAATTACATAAGATTACACATAAGGGGCAAGGATCATTGGGGACCATCTTCAAGGTTGCCTCACATAATATATGTACTTTTTCTTACTTCCCCTTCTTTCTTACAGGAAAGGCAGTACACTTCATTCCATCTTGTTTTTTTTTTTTCACATAACTGCGTATAATGTATCCTGAAAATCACTCTAGAGCAGCTCACCGAGGCCTCTCTTGTCCCTCATTACTATACCATACTTCTTCATTGTATACATGGACCCAGGGCATTTACTCAACTTCCTATGTGTGATAGGCAGGGTCTGAAGATGGGCTCCAAGATTCTTGGCCACTGGTGTACACACACCTTTTCCCATCCATTCAATCAAACACTCATGTAGATATGGCTACGAAAGGATTTTGCATATGTATTAAAGCCCCAAATCAGTCGATCCTATGACAGAGAGATTGTCCAGCGGGCTAATTAATCACAAGAGCTTCAACTTACAAGAAGGATTTGATGCACTGGTTTGAAGATGAAGAGATACGTGGCAAAGAATGTGGGTAGCCTTGAGGAGCCGACAGTGGCTCCCAGCTGATACCCAGCAAAAAAACAGGATCCTCAGACCTGCCACCACAAGAAACTAAATTCTGTCAACAACAGGGATGAGCTCAGAAGCAGATTCATCCCCTGACTGAGCCCCATGATACCCTTAGCAGAGAAACCAACAGAGCTACAAGCTAATAACTAGGTATTGCTTTCGGCTAAATTTGCAGTAATGTATTAGGCAGGGATAGAAGACTAATATATGTGACATGCAGGCTGTTTGCAATACTTAGCTATGGCAAATAATGCCATAATGAATACACTTTTGCATATATTGTTTTTATTGGAGGAGGTATAGCTTCAGGGTAAACTCCTGGAAGAATCGCTGAATCAAAGAGTAAACACAGATGTACAGAACTTGCCTCTACTGCTGCAAAGATCTATGGCAGCAGTCTTTACTTTCATTGGTTTATTGAGGCCTAAGAGGTGTCCTTTCCATTTACAGATGAAGCAATAAGGTTCCCGGTGGTGATGGCCTCTGCCAGGGCCAAGAGCTACCTCTCTCTCGTTCCCTTCTCCTGTTTCTCCCGCAGGCCTGGCTTGAGTTTACACAATCTTTTCTTCGCTCTCCAACTTGAATTCTAAAAATGAATCCTTGGAGTATTGTCCACACAGTTTCGCTATTGATACAGTTTGGACATGCTTGGCAGGATCACAAGAATCCAGCCATAAAAACAAATGCAATTCCTAGCCTGTGAGGGAAAAATCATTGCAATGCTACCCTTTTACGGCAGGGGAAGAAATACATGACTTTTGC